AGAAATAATTATGACCATATAGTGTTTTGTATTGTTTCTCTCCCTCTCTCTCTCCGTCCTACACATCAATTGCTGCTTTCTCATCTCAACCCCCGTTTTCTCCTCTCTACCAGTACTTAGCTTTCTGGGCCTTCTGAAAAATCTGTTCATAATTATCCTGAATTCTTCATCCTGAAGCCTGCCTCAGCACAGAGGGATGGATTAGGTGATGGCTTCAGGTCCATTCTAGCCCAGCATGTCTATGATTATCACAATGGGAGCGCTCCTGGGACCTTTTTGAAACTCTCATCCTAACTGTAGGTGCTGAGACCCTAAAATTCACAGCACCGGGTTTTTAAGAGATGATCATCCCATGATGCCTATGGGAGCTGCAGCCTTTGAAGACCAGACCCAAAACATAGTAGGTCAGGGGTTTTCAAACTCTGGGTTGTGGTTTGTAAGGACAAGCCGCTAGCTGGCCGCAAGATGCTGTTTACCTGTGTGACATAGTGTTGGTACCTTGTGGTTGCTAGGCTGAGGCTGTGGGTGACCCCCACTGGCTGCTGTCTGTACCAAGGCGCAGCAGAGTAGCTGATGGGACAGGGAGGTACCCTGTTCGACCGGTTACCTCCCAGGGAGAGGAACAAAGGAAGGGAGGCGGAGTGCAGCCCCTGGCTGGGGGGCAGGGGCTGGAAGTTGGGTAGTTTCTGTCTGGTATCATGGAGGAAGCAGCTAAGCAAGGAGCTGGAGTTTAGGGGCCCAGTCCCCCCCATCTCAAGGGGGGCTGAGGCATCCTAGGCCTGCCCTGGAACCAGATTACATCTGTGCTGTGCTGTATCCTGGAGAAGCAATAAACTCCCTCTATTCTACTGGCTGGCCTACGGGGGTGCAGGAGGCAGGGGAACCACCCTGCGCCTCCACAGCTATGTGCAATCTCAGCACCTTTTGGCCACGGATTGCTGTTCCCACCCAACGAGAGCTGCAGGAAGCAGTGTCCTGGTCTGCATACTTCCTGCAGCTCCCATTGGCTGGAAACGGCGATCTGCTGCCAATGGGAGCTATGAAGGTGCAGGCAAACAGAGCATCTCGCGGCCAGCTAGCAACTTGCTCTTACAAGTCACAACCCAGAGTTTGAAAATCCCTGTACTAGGTGTTAGGTTATGCCTGAGTATGAGGTTGTTCTCCCATGGCTGCCCCACACAAAAGATAAAGGACCAAGTACTGCTGCTAGCTAGGGGAACTTTTCTTTAGCAAACATGACCAGGTGTTGTGTTTGGGAGCAGAACAACCTGGGTTCCAGTCCCAGCTCTCCACAAATGTTGTTTAAGCAGCAGTTGGTTTGTCCCTTACATAATGTTTAATGTTGTCTGCAAGCACAATGGCTGGGAGTGGATGGGGTATACAAGGAATAAGAGATGGAACTAGAGTTTCAATTGCTTTTGCCCTTAATGCCTCAATTGCCACAAAGCCCATGTTACTTCCCCAGCGCTTTCCTAAGGTCTGATTTTTGAGAGTTTGTTTAATTTTGTCTCCCTCCTTGGTTCTTGCTTCCCCAGCTCAACGTCAGCAAAATCGCTTCTGTTTCCAGAGTGGTTAGCGCCAAGTGCATTAAGCACAATCATGCCATGTACTAAAGGACACCAGGTCAGCACCCTTACTCTAGCTACGGATTTACACCTTCTTGGAATGGGCCTCTCTCTTTGTCCTCAGCACACAACCCTGCAATGCATTACGCATGCAGGCCTGGATTGCAGGCTCTCCTGGGGGATGGGACCCCCAGTGGAACGCACTGTAAGAAATGCTTCAGAGATTAAACAAACAAAACACAACTAGCAGCTCCAACACTGAACACATATCATTGTATTCCATTAACATTTAACTGACCAAGCATTCATAAGAACGGCCATACTGGGTCAGACCACAGGTCCCAATGCCAGGTGCCCCAGAGGGAGTGAACAGGCCAAGGAATTATCAAGTGATACCTCCCCTGTCACCCATTCCCAGCCTCTGACACACAGGAGCTAGGGATACCATCCCTACCCATCCTGGCTATTAGCCATTGATGGACCTAACCTCCGTGAATGTATCTAGCTCTTTTTTAACCCTGGCCTTCACAACATCCTCTGGCAAGGAGTTCCACAGGTTGATTGTGCATTGTGTGAAGAAATACCTGCTACCTATTTAAATCTGCCACCTGTTATAATTTCATTTGGTGACCCTCCAGTTCTTTTGTTATGGGAGCAAGTAAATAACTTCTCCTTACTTACTTTCTTCACACTAGTCATGATTTTATAGATCTCAATCATATCCCACTGTGGAAATTGGCCTAACTATCCCAGAAAAGTTTGGACAATTTAACAGGCCATATGCAGTACGTACCACGTCAGAGGCTGCTTTTAATTGAAACTGCAAGGCTTGCCATGTTTTAATTGCCTAGTGTGGTGGAGTGTCGGGGTTCCCCCGCCTCCTGCACCCCCATAGTGGCATGAACAGACTCCACCAGCCAGGAGAACGATGGAATCTGGGTACAGGGCAGGCCTAGGATGCCTCAGCCCCCCGTGAGATGCGGGAGACTGGGCCCCTAAATCCCAGCCAGTTGCTTAAGCTGCTTCCTCCATGATTCCAGAAGGCAACTAAAAACCGTCCCTTCCAGCCCTGCCCCCCAGCCAGGAGCTGGCCTCCCCTCCTTCCTTTGTTCCTCTCCCTGGGAGGTAACCGGTCAAACAGGTTACCTCCCTGTCCCATCAGCTACTCTGCTGGGCCGTGCTACAGACAGCAGCCAGTGGGGGTCACCCACAGCCCCAGCCTAGCAACCAGCAAGGTACCAACACTACGTCACACCTAGCTACCAAAGATTTGTCTGCTCTCGCTTTTTTAAATTGAACTCATATGGAATAAGTTTCCTTACTTCCCTTTTCCAAGTTTCCTGTCATGTACCTTTTGTAAAGTTCCTCTTTTTCTCTGTAAAATTCCATTGCAGAATAGTAAAAGGTATTTGAGTAAAGGGCAGGGGGACAGGGGGGCTCATATCGGCAAGGGCTGACTCTGTTGCTCTGCGTCCGTCCCCCCATAGCTATGGAATAAAGCTGTTTCTGTCTGACCTGAACCCCAAAACTATTGTGTGTTCATTCCACGACACCACCGGGGTCACCTCTTTTCTAACACGAAAAGTCTCAGTCTCTTTAATCTCTCCTCAGATGGCAGCTCTTCCAAACAGGGCACACAGAGTCTGGGTGGGCCAGGCCTCTTCGCCATTGCTTCCTTATAAGAAGCAGGTGGCATGACAGAGCGTTTGGAACACAGTACTGGGTTCTATGCCTGGCCAGGAAACTCCCTTCCTTGTATTATGGTGGCTTGGCTGTCTAACTGCTCTAGCAGAGCTGTCCCCTTGCGCAGAGTGGCTGGAGGCCTGTATTCCACGCAGGCCCACTTCAGTGTTCACTTTGAGGAACTTAAGAGATGTAAGAAAGTTATTATGCTGCATGATTGTTTTTGGCAGTTTTTTCCCCACAAAATGCCTCTTTCATATGTTTCATGAAAATGTGTCAATTTTGGCCAACCCTTCTTTCCCCGCAAAAACAGGACATGCAAAAAAGAAACCACCACCAACAAAAATCCACAATAGCGGAGGTTCCTCCGGTACAGGATGGAATTTCTAGTTAAAACCAGAGACTCCCATCCCCCAGGCAGGGGGAGAGGTAGATACGCTGGAGGGCTGGGATAGGGTCCCGAGTGACTTAGACAAATTGGAGGATTGGGCCACAAGAAATCTGAAGAGATTCAACAAGGACAAGTGCAGAGTCCTGCACTTGGGACGGAAGAATCCCAAGCACAGTTACAAGCTGGGGACCAATCAGTTAAGTAGCAGTTCTGCAGAAAGGGACCTGGGGATTACAGTGGATGAGAAGCTAGATATGAGTCAACAGGGCGCCCTTGTAGCCAAGAAGGCTAATGGCATATTAGATTGCATTAAGAGGAGCATTGCCAGCAGATCCAGAGATGTCATTATTCCCCTTTATTCGGCTCTGGTGAGGCCACATCTGGAGTATTGTGTCCAGTTCTGGGCCTCCCACTACAAAAAGGATGTGGACTCATTGGAGAGGGTCCAGCGGAGGGCAACCAAAATGATTAGGGGGCTGGAGCACATGACCTACGAGGAGAGGCTGAGGGACTTGGGTCTGTTTAGCCTGCAGAAGCGAAGAGTGAGGGGGGATTTGAGAGCAGCCTTCAACTTCCTGAAGGGAGGTTCCAAAGAGGATGGA